GAAAAACTGATTTGGAAGTATAAAATTTACCATTATTTTTGACAAGTACTTGCTGTTTATCGTTAATTAGTCATGTGTACAGGAACTATGTGAGAAATCCATGTTACTGCATATTTTATTTGATTACAAAGCAAAGTGTATGTATATTTAACCTGCATTTCTGTAGCCAACCAATTACTCATAAAAATGAAAAGAAAGACTAGAGGTGGACATACCCAATCCTGAACTCGCCTCACTCCAGGCCTTCATGGCTAGAGGCACTGAGAGCCAGTTTAACCTGACTCCATTCAGTTCATTGTTCAAGTCTGTTTATAAGTGGGCACCAGCAGGAGGATAAGTAGGAAGGAATGTTTATCTAGCCCAGTTACCTTTATCTGAGTCAAGAGAAACTACACTGTCATTTGATTGCTGACATTTTCTTAGCCATTGTAGGGGTTAATACCGAATCTTTAAATGAAAAAACAAAAACAAAACCAAAAACAACAAATAGGTTCTTTGGTGTTACAGGATCAGAACCTTAATGTTATACATAAACATTCGGGTTAGTTTGTGCCTACTACGATATGTGTAGATTTCTAAATTAAGTGTGTATGCTCTTATAAACAAATAACAGAACATCTGAAGGAAGCACCCTCTCAGAAAAAGTGGAGTAGTGCAAGGCCTATATCCAGAGAGACTGAATATCCCCTTGAAAAAGTTAGTGAACAGTGGAGAGAGGTGAGGGTTGGGAGAGACAAGCTGATCTTTCATAACCAAATGCTTTAAGCTTATATACATCATCACCTTTTCATAAACCAAGACTCTATGGCAAGATGAACATCAGTTCTAAAAACATGAGGATTTTAAAAAATGATAGCATTCAGAATCACAATCTAGAAAATAGCTCATTAATAAGGACACACTGTTCCTGCATTTTCCAGTTAGTCTTCCATCATAAAATGCAACTGTTTCACAGCATCCAATACTAAGTACACCATTCACCGAAATGCTACTGAGCTTTTAAACATATCATAGATGACAGTTTTATCTAGAATTAAGAATTCTCCCCCAAACAGAATATACATTTAAAGCAAAATAAAATTACATCTTACACAAAGCAACAAGAAAAAAGGTGGCACAAGTTCACAAATAATTGCTGGTACAATTTCTCTAGAAAAAATACACTAAACCTAGGAATAACTAGAGAAAACTCAATGCAACAGGAAAAAAAAAAAAAGTCCAAACCACCTTAAATCTTTTCAAATTAACACTGTATCAAGTTCTGTTCCATACGACTTAGCTGTACCCCTTAGTGCTTATTCTGCATATGGTTGGTTGATGTGAGTTATTAGGGCAATCAAATTATTAATGCCCTCGGGCGAACGCTAATTAAATGGAACATACTGAATAATCAAGTCAACCATTACTTATGGTACTTCACTGTCAAATACACTCAATTTTCAAGTTTTCTCAAAAGAGAAAAATATTTTCTTTCCTAGAAAATTTTTGTTGACTATGAAAGCCTAAGTCTAGTTCATTGAAGTACAAAATGGTGATGACCAAAGTAACTTGTTAAGAGACAGAATTGAGAAAATAAAAAGACATCTTACAATAATATATACTTTCCTCTTAATTAGCTTAAATGAGTAGGGGAGGATGACTTATTTCAAACAGAAGCCTATAAAACATTTGAGGCTGAATATCACAATGTAATCCCTTTTCAACAAGCAACAAGTTTTATGGATGAAGAAAAAAAAATCAGAAGTTATATAATCTGGGGAGAGGAGATGGGCTTTTAATATATAATATCTTCTAGTGCTGATAATAGTCATCATAATAGGATGGTCATCTCATAGTATAAAGTATGTAAAACAATTTAAGGGGTTTTATTCTCACTGGAGATGGATACCATGGTCCAGTCAACATTAAACAGTGTTTACAGAGAACAAATATTAGAAGTTCTTACTGGAAAACATTATTTCTAAATTATACATTTATCAAAACAGAACTTTCATAAGGTGTATTTTGGACTTTCTCTGTGAGAGGTTTTAGATAATGAGACAAGCACGAAAAAATTTTACTTTCCTTAGTGGTGGTCTTTAAAAACCAGTCCTGTGAAGGTCTTTTCACAAATACTTTCTTTGTCATGATTACTTTTCTTCCTACCTAGCTCCTAAACCAATTCAGTACTCCAAAATACACCAAAATACACCCAGAAAAGGAATTACTGGATTCCAAAATCAAATCACTTGCAAAAATGGCCATTTTTATGTATAATTAGAGATCAGAACCAAGAAACAACTTTTGGAATAAGTCACCAAGTGCTGAGATGGGCTAGATTCTGAGCTCTATCTGAAACTTGGTCTGAGCTCACAGAACTATCAATTTCCTAAACTTTTTCCCATCTCCTACTTCTGGAAGTAACTTCAAATGAATGTCTCATGGTATCCTTTATGATATAAACATGCCTCATCATTCCTACAAAATCCTGCCTATAAATACAAATACACCTCTTTTAGTGGCGCCTCCCTAATGTTTAGTAGGAGGTATTCTCACACTCCAAATCTCAATATGTACACTTCATGCTTTCTACTTTATCTCGAAGAGCTACTAAATATAATTTTTCTTTCAAGAATTTTGTGAACATGCTACATGTACCTGTTGTCAACTTTCTTGTCAAGTTCTAATTGTCCTACAACTAATAGGGACCAGTGCCTTTCAAACTTTATTATGCCTAAGAATCACCTGGGGCATTGGTAAAATGCAGATTCCTGGGCCCCACTCGCCGTTCTCTAAGTGATTCTGATGCAGGTGGTCAGAGGATCAAACTTTAGAACTCTGGTATAGGCAGTTCTTAAATTTATGGCAAGTTGCATTCCTAGAAAAACTGCCATAAGTCAAAATGTCATTAGTTGAACCTGATTTTCCCCTATAAACCATAATGTAAATAGGAAATTACAAATTTAATAAAGGGACTGGTGTTCACATTTTCAGAGATGTGGCTTAACGTTGTACTTCACTACAGATACACCGTGAAGTATAAACCTTTCTAAATACACAAAGTACAACTAAGAACACAGTAAAAAATTATAAAGGACTTACTATGATAAGCAGCAGTCTACCACACAAAGTTTTATTCTTAATATATAATTCTTGCTTTATTTTTACTGCAACATGGAATACCTTAAAATGTGGAATTTCAAAGGATTTTCTCTGAGAACATTAGCAACTTCAAGAAGACTTCTGGTAATCTTTAACCACTGGATACTCCTTCAGAAATTAATCCAGAGTATTATTTTACTGCCCCTTTTACTTGCTGTATTTTTTTTTTGTAGCAACATAAAACACCAATTTGTGGACTTCTGTTTGCTAAAAAAATCTGAGTGTTCATTAACATCCCTAACTTCACCTTGCCCCACTTCATCGCAGTATAGGCTGAACTACAGGATGCTGCTGAGCTATTCCAACTGTTTCTTATCTCCAGAAACAGCAGTTTCTTATGATTCAACCTAAGCGGTTGCCTTTACAATACACCTACAAGCCATTACATACATTTCTCATCTATTGGCCCTTCACAACGTTTTCTACTTTAGTGTCCCAGGTCTCAAAGCTCTGGCTTAAATGGTGGTCAGTTTCAAAGGCATAGAAAGCAGGAGTTTGTTTTGACCCAACAATTCTTTCAATTTTGGCCAAAGTTACCAAGTAACAATATCAAGGCATGTGCATCTGTCTTATATATGTAATAATCACAAGGTCAGGTCACTACTTTCTCCACTTCATTAATCATTTTAATCTTGCTCAAAATATTCAATGGATATTGTCTCAGGAACTGCCTTCAATACCAGTTGACTAGTTGAAAAAGGAAAAAACAAAACAAGATCTATTCATTTCGAAGCTTCAGAACAAATTATTCTGCCTTAGTTGGTTACTTTTCGTTTCTTTTCTTTCTCCCTTTCTGCCCTCATTAGACATCATTTTCTCAGCTGTTTCAGGCCAGAGAGAAGCAGTGATGGTGCCTGGGAATAGGAAACCCCCAGAACTGGAGTGAAGATAGCAACAGCTCAGCGAGCAGGGGCATCTAAGATCTAAGGCCATGTTTGCACTCCCTGCATAGGAGAGGACAATGACTAAGCCCTATCAGAAGAATATCGTTTCAAAATCAAAACTGAGGGCTCAATTCCTGCTCCCGGCCTTCTGTCCTCCCTCACATGCGCCCACCACAGTTAGCCTTTTACACATACACTATGCCTCACCTTACTACTACAACGTCCCAACTTTAAGTTATGATTTCTAAAATTCAACCTCTCCAGCTTATTTTCAACTTCCAAATGGCTCCATATCATGCTAATAAGCTGCACTCGCCAGTGCTGTCAATCTTTCGCAGGTCCTGTGCCCCATCCAACTCAAGTTTCTACTTTTACATTTTCCTGCTTAACCCATCCCACATTTTCCCTTGTAGTTTTCCTTCTGTTTTAGCACACCTCTTAATCTGTTTAAAAATGAACACTGATTTACTTAATATTTATTACAAATGACCTCCAATGATTTAATTTATTAATCACCGCCAATAAACATATTAGTAAGAATTCAGGTCAAGGATAAACTAAATTGATAGGGGTAATGATTATGAAAACATTCTGAAAAAACATAGCTAATTTAGTTTCAATAACATTTAGCTGAGGATTCTGAATATACATTATCAAATTGGTGCTATCTGAAAGTTTATATGTTCCTACTGACCGTGTGCAATCTCATTTCATAACAACTTATAAAAAATGGTCTTTGAACACTGAAAGCCAAACCACTTGTTAACAAATATTTGCCTGAGATGATTCCAACATATTTGAAAGAGTCAGAGAGTTAAACCATGCAGTAACACATAGCTTTAAAATGGCAGTCCAGACATTAAGGAAACATACAAAGTTCAACAGTTTGGACTGATACAAATTTCAAATGCATGAAAGGTTATTTTGAGAATATTAAAATAATTTGAGGCCTATTTACTTTATGAAAGTACTCACCTGACTCTTGCAAGTATCTATATACCAAGAAGTTGACCTCATCACTGCTTATACTCATCTTTATTCCCACTTAAACCATGAGGTCACAACACAGGATATAACCCTAAAAATAAAACAAAGTTAATTAAGTATTTTCTCAATAAAATATTTTTAAACAAAATGTAAACAATGTTGTAAAAACCATTTGATTTTATTATAAATGATGTAAAATGAAGGTTCTATATAGCCTAATGATAGATTATATAACCAAAACATGGCTGGTCTATTTTTCTGCAAGATAACATATTTGCAAAAAGGATTCAAAATTTATAAAAGGCCTTTAGCATCGTATTTTATATGACTATATCAAATAGCATAAAAAGTTGTTTCCTTTTTCTCCTTAATTGTAAAAAAAAAAAAAAAAGTACACTTTAGGAATCAGAATATTATTTATTTAGGAAAAGAATGATTTTAGACCACTGGGTAAGGGATGAGCCATCTACACTGGTTTTATCTACATAATTTGAGAGGATTTGAAGTCTCTGTTTTCTCAACATCTAATCTGCAATGTTCAAGTTTCAAAAAGATCTAGCTACATGTAAAGCAGAGAGGTGGGAATACGGTTTTCAAAACCCAAATGATATTCTCCTACCGGACATACTTAAATCCTGAATTTAGAGGGAGGGAGAAAAGGAAACGGAGACCTAACTTAAATATGCTCTCATTATACTTATCTGTTCTCATGTCACAGAAATTATTTAAAAAAGAAGTCAGCAAACATTTTTTGTATAGAGTCAGGCAGTAAGTATGTTAGGCTTTGCCACCCATACACAGTTTCTGTTAAAACCACTCAACTCTATGGTTGTAGCACAAAAGCAGCAACAAACAAGATGCAGACAAATGAGTCTGGCCATGTTCCAATAAAATTTTATTTATGGATGCTGAAATTTGGATTTCATATGATTAAGTTGGATCATAAAATATTTCTCTTTGGACTTCTTTTCAAGCACTTAAAAACACCACCACCACCTTTCTTAGCTTGTGGTCCTTATACAAGGCTAGTGGGCCAGATCTGATCCACAGACTGTGTACTTTCTTGGTCCCTTTTTTAAAAGTATAGACTGACATCATTCAGTAAAGGGCTATCTAACATTATGTGCCTGTGTTCACTGTCCTGCTACATCATTGGTCTCTTTATGATGCACAGTTCACGGGATATTTAAAAGTCACAAACTGTTAACAAACACCTGAGTAGGCTACTGTGTGAGGGGAACTGCTCCTGCCCTAAGTTGTGGAAAAAGTGGTGACTAAGCACATCAAGCTTCTGTCATAGAGAAGAACAAAGACAAACAAGGAAGTAATAACAATTTTCCAATGACTCACACAGAGGAAACCCTAACCAAATTTAGTAGTCTGGGAATACATCTTGAAGAAAGTATCACTGGTGTTTAGACCTGGAAGGATGGAGGAGGAGAGGGAGAACACAAACGACTGTAGGAGGAAGGCAGGGAGGGAAGGCATCCAGTGAGCAGTAATAGTGGAAAGGCTGGATGAAGAAAGAGAAACAAAACATGGAAGTAAGGCTCACAACACAAAAACCCTGTTCTGCAGGGCCTTGACAGCATCACTTAGAGAAAATATACTGACAGGTTTTAAGCAGGTAGCAGAATGACCAGACCGACACTGTATAAAGACCATCCTGGCTCTGATATGTAGAAGAGACTGGACAGAAAATGGACTGGAGTAACAGCTGAGGTAGCAGGATGTTGCAGGGACCTAATGGACGAAGAAAACCTGGGGTGTGGCACTGAAGTCGGGGAGAGAAGTACAGGGGTTCCAAAGTGCGACCAGCTGGACACAGGAATGAGGAGAACCGAAGGTTCTCTGAGGAATCTGGATCAGCAGTACTTCCACTTAAGGAAATGCATAACCACAAAGAAGAGTAACAATTATCTTCATAGAAAGAAAAAGGTACTCTCCCATAAAATTAACTCAGGGAGTACAATTAATAACCTGAATGTTCGGAATGATAAAGGTAAATACTCTTTTGATGATTTTGGCTCAGGACATCTTGTCTAGAACCTACTACTATGGTACATTAGGTGATTCATGTTTTGGAGGATATCTTGCTCAATTTTATCCTGACCCACAGTAATGTGTAGCAATGTGTCTGGCACACACAGTAGATATTAATCATAGTCAATTTTGAAAGCCTGTTGAACTGAATGATTTTAAAAAAACAAAACAAGTGGGGCGCTTAGGTGGCTCAGTCGGTTAAGCGCTGACTCTTGATTTTGGCTCAGGTCATGATCTCAGGGTCATGAGAATGAGCCTCACAGGTCAGGTTCCACTGGGCGTGGAGCCTGCCTGGGATTCTCTCTCTCTCTCTCTCTACCTGCCCCATTCTCACATGTGCGCGCTCTCTCTCAAAAAGAAACAAAACAAACCTAATCCCACACCATTGTAGAATTATAAGAAATTAAATCATAATTTGACCAATCATGGATATCAGTTCATAGGGGGAACAATTCGTCACTATTTTATTAACAGGATTTCCCAAAATGAGATGTGCTAGGTGAACTCCAAGTGAAACAGACTGACAAAGAAAACAGAGTTAAGTCTTTTTTTTCCCTCTAATATACCATTCAGTTCAACATTCAAACACTGGCGCTGAAGTACCTAAGATGCATAGGTTTTTAACAATGCTTGGTTCTGATAAGCTAAGGCCATCAATGTCTCAACTTAAAGCGGTGATCAGTGATGCTTCAGCATTACCTAATACATTCCAGGGCAAAGAAAAATACAAACCAAAATGACGGAAGTTATTGTCTATAAATGTTCTTATAATAAATACATATTGCTGGTACATTTTTTAAAAAATCATCACAAAAAATGCCCAACAAGTAGAGCAGAAAAGTTCTTATCTGTTCAAATTGCAATTTTTTTTATTCCACTGATCACAGCATTATATCAATTTCTGGAATCAAGAGTAACATTTTTTAAGGGAAAGGGGTAAACTGTTCAAATTTAAAAGTATTATTCCACCTGTAGCCCTACTTCAGTTAGCTCCTACATTCCTAGAAAGAACCTTATTGTTGCCCACGTGTGTTGCTAAGGCAGACAAATCTCTATGCTGAGAGTAGGAATAGACAGATGAAATAAGGTTGGCCCATGCCTTGCAGAGTTCAGTTAGTGAAGAGAAACATACAAAGGTAGCACTAAAGAAAAAAGATTTGTAAATTTAATGCAATCTGTACTAGAGGTTTCAGTCCCAGTTGCAATAAAACTACATAGAGTCTACAAAGATTCGAGTTTATCCACTTTCAAAGACACTTAATTCTGGAGTATGACCCTTTTAAAATTCTAATTTCAAAAAGACACCTGAAAAGAACAGGACACTGGACGATGAAAAGAAAACACTAAGACACTCCTTGCCTGAAAAAGTCAGTCTTCACTTTCAAAACACCTTAAAAGCCTGTGTGCCAAAGAGTGAAATTAGACTACCTCCTTAGTGGACTCACTGTGGCTTTGTGGAACTGCTCCATTTTGGTCTGTTAGCTTACACAGCTAAGGTGGGTCCTCCGTAATGTGATGGACTCTTCATCTGTCCCAGGTGAAGACCAGACATTCAGATACTAGACATCATTCATTTTCAGAGGGTATACAAGAAGTCTTACCCCTGCATCTCTGCCACTGTGGTACCTTTCAGTACAACTATTTTCAAACAAGATCACAAAACAGCAGCGAGACATTCATCCAATCTCTATCCTATACCATCCTGGTGTCAGACCTGCTGAGGTTATCATGGGTAAAATAAGTCCTGCCCCTCAAGGAGCAGATGGACTATTAAATAAACAAGACATTCAAAATAAATAATGCTTCTAAAGTCACAAAGCAATTTTTGGGGGGGGGGGGGGAAGGGCAAAGGGAGAGAAAGAATTACTTAAGCAGGCTCCATGCCCAGCACAGAGCCTGAAGAGGAGGCTTGATCTCATGACCCTGAGATCATGACCTGAGCCGAAAACCAACAGTCGGATGCTTAACTGACTGAGCCACCCACATTACCCCCCCAAAGCAATTTTTTGTATGTTCTGCCTCATCATACTTATTTATCCTTAAATAGTAAATGACTGAGTTCTAAAAAAAGAAAAAAATTAAATGCCTTTGTACTTTTCCATCCTAGCTCTCAGAATAGCCTATAAACTCGTAAGAGCTTTTATTCAAAATACCTATCAGTTACAGGCAATCAGTTACTTAATTCAGATCCATAGCTATATTCGTCAAAAGTAAATATAAAAACTAGTCTTAACTAATATTTAGCCAAGTGTTTATATTAAAAGTACACTTAATATTTTAAATGTTCAGTATGAAATATTTTACTTCAAGACATTATAGACAATAATTTAACAACTACTACAAAAAACAGGACTGCTGAGACAAGTTAGCTAGAATTCATTCAACTGAGTACGTACAGCACTTTCAGCATCACAAAACTGAGTTCAGCAACACACACTGAACAATAACTGCCCCACAAATTTAATCATCTCCTAGCTTCTCCTAGGAAAAAGATATATTCTTTTCTGAGTCCATTCCTGGAGCAAGCCAGCACCCAACTATAAACCTGTATACATCATTTTAAATTTAAAAGAATGAAAAGACAGGGAAAGTTATGGATAGAAATAAAACCAGTCCTGCCTACAACACATTATAAGGAGATCTGGAAACCCTTTGCATGATCCAAAATCAAATGTTTAATTGAAATTACTTTATCTTCCACAATGTACAGTGGTGGCATATTATCTCATAACAGACATACTAGTTTAATTTTTGAGTTGCTCAACTATTTGGATGATCCTAAACCTTCCTTCCTCTAAGACTGCCATCAGGATATTTAAGCTTAAAGTTGTTTTTCTTTCATTTCTTTTTGGTAGGTGTGCAATAATAAATAGTTCTCAGAATCAGGAATAGTCTCTACAAGTAAATAACTGGACCAAAGGGAATAAATGGTTATTCTGACTTTTTTTTAATAAATTGAAGTGTTGCTGACACATAATGTTACGTTGGTTTCAGGTGTATAACATGGTGTACATCATACTACGCTCACAAGTATGGCTACTATCCGTC